TGAGGTGTCACATTTTATTTTTAAGGGTTTTTTTTAAGTTTATTTATTTTGAAAGAGAGAGAAAGAGCGTGCAAGTGAGCAGGGGAGGGGCAGAGGGGGGCGGAAAGAGAGGATCTGAAGTGGGCTCTGTGCTGACAGCAGAGAGCCCAATGCGGGGCTTGAACTCAAAAACTGTGAGATTATGACCTGCGCAGAAGTCAGATGCTTACCGACTCAGAAGTCAGAGGGCTTCCCGAGAAAAAGCCTTCTGTTCGCTCAACAGACATAATGAGTGATTCTCTGTGCCACATTCTGTGCCTGGCCCTGCGGTGGTGGGGGGCGCTGGGTTCAGCCCTCTCCTTCAGTCACACCATCTGGTGTTTTAGTTGTAAGATCTTATTTTGTGTGGAAAGAGGGCACAGGAAATGGGGTCCAGAGCTGTTCATAGTAGGTTTCCTATTGCCTGTGTTTCTGTGGCTGGACCCCAAGAAAACTCTGGAACAAACTCTGGGAGATGGTGACCGAAACTGTGGAGCTTGGTGTTTCTAATCATGCTCCTAAGCTTGAGAACTTTTCCTGGCCAGTCTGGAGGAGCAGACACTGTTGAGGTCTCAGGAGCTTGTGCTAATGTGACACCTCAGGGGGTGCCTGGGTGACTCAGTGGGTTAAGTATCCGACTTCGGCTCAGGTCATGATCTCACAGTTTGCGAGTTCGAGCCCCATGTCGGGCTCTGTGCTGACAGCTCAGTGCCTGGAGCCTGCCTCAGATTCTGTGTCTCCCTCTCTCTCTCTGCCTCACCCCTGCTCGTGCTCTGTCTCTCTCAAGAAAGTAAATAAACATTAAAGAAATTAAGTTATATAGCATAACTAATGAAAGTTTCTCAATGACCTGTTCCTGATTTTAAATTAGATGAAATTATACGTAGGTTTCATCTGTGTGATCACCTATATGAGAGAAAGAAGGGAAGGAAGGAAGAAAGAGGAAAAGAAAGGGTTCTCTACACCTGAATTAATGGCATGAAAAGTTCTATAGATTTTTTTTCATTTATTCACTATACTATTGTGGGACAAAGCTATGAACTTCAGTGAACTTCATTCATTGCTGGAAATAGCATTCACTCTTCTCCCTTTTGCTTCTTCCCCTGGAGGCACAACCAAGCCCTTAAGTAGCTGATGCCAGAAAGAGGAACTGAAACCTACCATTTCTGCCTAGCGGGCTCGGCTGGCCAGATGCACCGAGCCCAGGTCTCTGCTGCAGAACTAACTGAAAGCTGTAAATCCACCAAGAGGGAAAGAAAGCAGATGCACCTGGGTGGCTCAGTCAGTTAAGGGTCTGCCTCTTGGTTCCGGATCAGGTCGCGATCTCAGTTCGCGAGTTCAAGCCCCGGATCAAGTCATGATCTCACTTCGCAAGTTCAAGCCCCACTTTGGGCTCTGTGCTGACAGAGCCTGCTTGGGATTTTCTCTCTCCCTCTCTCTCTGCCTCTCCCCTGCTCATTCTCTCTCTCTGAAAATAAATAAACTTAAAAAAAAAAAAAAAAAAAAAAAAAAAAAAAAGGAAAGAAAGGATCCAGAAGGCTTCCTCGAATACAGCTGACCTGAATCTTGGAAGATGAGTAGGATTCAGACAGTAGGAAAAAGAAGAGAGAACACATCTGAAAGCCTGAAGCAAAGGAAGAGACTGTGATGTATGGCAAACCCAGTTTTAAAACGAAAAGGAAAGAGAGATAATAGCTGTTTGCCCCTCATGTTCCATAGCCCTGAAGACCTCTTTCCAAAATCTATTACAAGAAGTGTGTTTCTCAATGTGGTAAACCACAACAATGAATAGATTTTTTTTTAATGCTCATTTATTTTTTAGAGACAGAGAGAAAGAGCGCACGAGCAGGAGAGGGACAGAAAGAGAGGCAGACAGAGGAGTCGAGCGCACAGCCCGATGTGGGGCTCGAACTCAAGAACCGTGACGTCATGACCTGAGCCAAGTTGGACACTTAACCGACTGAGCCACCCAGGCGCCCCAAAAGAGGCTTTTTAAATTAAGAGAAGACAGCATGAAGGAACATATGTTAGGAGAGCACTGGAAGGAGTGAACCCAGGTTGTGTGAACACAAAAAACCTTTGTAGGTTAGTGTCATGAAAATTTGAAGGTAAAGAACAATGATCATCTGTCACCCCCCCTCTCAAAGACTGCCTACACATCTTTAGTGTTATCCCACTTTCCTGAATGCAGGACTTAGGGCTAAACTAACTTTGAAATGGGACAGACAGGTCCACTAAGGCGGCAGAGTTCATTTGTGGAGGCAGACCTGAATAGACTTAAATGAACTATATCTACTTATGCACGTGTGTGCACACACACATTTGTAAAAAAGGAAATCTTCACCTCATTACCACTGCAGGCCAAAATCAAGCGTGAGAGATCTTATTATTCACTTCAAACTTCCAGACTGAAAAGTAGTAAACTTTTTTCTTTCATTTTTTTAAATCTAATCCTAGGCGGTTTAGAATATTGAATAGACCACCACGGTGTTATGGAAATGAAACTTTGGATTTGAAAGGCACTTTCAAGTTCATTTTGTCCGCTCTTAATTTGGATGATGAGAAAACTAGGGCACAGAGAGCACATGGCTGGCCGGGCCACACATCAAGAACAATTCTCTAGCAGAGACATCTTAACACTGGCCCTGGTTTCCGTACCACCTGCTCGACACAGCCCGTGTGTCAAGGGTTTTCTGAACAATCCCGATTTCAAATATTCCAGGCTTTAAATACTTCCCAGGACCAGAAGTTCTAATTCCAAAATACTAGATTCCTTTTTGTTTTTAAAGGAAGTCCTCAAATTCCAGGTCATAACATATGTCTGGATTTTTGGCCTGCTAATCACAATTGTCAGGGTAGATATTCTCTATCATACAGGAACATATCAAGTTAATCTTTCGCAGAAATGAGAAGTGCTCTTTTCAACATGTTAAAGTCCAGCTCAACCTCTAGCATGTGGTCCTGTTCCCAAATCGCAGTTGATCGTCCCTTCTTTGAAATCGAACGTCACTCGCTCACAGAGTCAGCCACAGAGAAAAACAGCACTGTGAACTCAAACAGGAGGGACTATAAATCACAACTATGTCATGTCCTTTTTCTTTTTTTAATATTTATTTTTGAGAGAGAGAGAGAGAGAGAGCGTGAGCAGGGGAGGGGCAGAGAGAGAGGCGGACAGAGGATCCAAAGAGGGTTCGGTGCTCACAGCAGAAAGCCCGACGCGGGGCTCGAACTCACAAACCATGAGATCATGACCTGAGCCGAAGCTGGTCCCTCAACCGACTGAGCCACCCAGGTGCCCCGCAACTATGTCACGCCTTAATGCATGATTTCAGCAAGCTGCCTAATCTCTCCAAGTGTTATTAGCTTCCTCATCTGAAAAATGGAGGTCATAATGCCCTCCTCATGGGGTTGGTGGTGTTTAGAAAACCCTACAAAGCACTTTGTACAGGGACTAGTATGTGGTAGCGTCTCCATAAACAGAAGAGGTGTCATCACCATCATCTCCCATTTTAGCATGAAATTCCACATAACCTGGTCTCTGTAACTGGTCCATGCACATCGTCAGTGAGCTACTGGTAATTGGGCTAGTCTCAGACTCCTAGCCCACCCCCTCTATTCATGCTGTTCCCTGGGAAGGAAGGAGGGAGGGAAGGAAGGAAGTTCCCTGGGAAGGAAGGAAGGGAGGAAGGAAGGAAAGAAGAAAGAAAGAAAGAAAGAAAGAAAGAAAGAAAGAAAGAAAGAAAGAAAGAAAGAAAGAAAGAAAAGAAAAGAAAAGAAAGAGGGAGAGAGAGGGAGAAAAAGAAAGAAAGAAAGAAAGAGGAGAGAGGGAGGGAAGGGAAGGATGGAAGGGAGGAAGAAAGGAAGCAAGGAAGAAAAAAAAAAAGAAAGGAAAATCCCCTATTTCCCTCAACGAAAGGTACAGCAATGAATGCCTTGGATGCTTTTGTTAAATGTACCTTCAAGCTCATTGTCTTTTCCAGATAAGAAAACCAGAGTACAGTATCTAGATGCTCCCAGTTACGGTGTGTTGGGGAGCATACCGTGAATTTGAAACCCCCTGTGTGTGGTCTGACAGATGGAGTCTCTATAAAGAAACCCCAAAGAACTGGCCTCGTACCGCGCGGTGCTCATCCGATCTTCGGCACTGACCTTACCTTTCTGCACAGCGCACGAGGGCGGTTGGGTTGCGTCAGGGGTCCCCAACTCCTGAGTGACACAGCACTCTGCTGCTCCTCAGCAGGTGGGCGGCGGACAGGGGCTGGGGAAGCCGAACTCCGGCCAGGCTGAGCTGGGGGAGCGGAGGATGACGATGACCGGGAAGTCCCGCTGCAAGACAAAGTACCAATCAGGTTGTACTTGCACAAGTCCGAGGACTCCCTTTCTTTTTTATGTTATTAACAGCGTCTGAAATTGACAGGCACTTGATGAACTACGTGTTCGCTACAGCGGTGGTTTCATTTCCTTAAAAAGGAGATTTTAAAATTGATGGCACTTTTACCCTGGAAGTTATTTCGGGATTAAGGAGATTGTTCATGAGAAGAGTTACGCAACCCTGGAACTAGCTACTTTCCCTCTCACTTCGACAGTCAAGGAAACTGAGGCTTTAGGCTGTCTTGACTAAGGTCATTGGCTCCAGTTTACCAGCAGGGCTGACTCCCCAAAGGCAGAGGGAACAGAGCAGTCTCACTTTCCGGCCAAGAACAACCCTGGGTCCAGTTGTTTTAACTGCTTCGAACCATACCTTGCCCTACCTCCTACCTTCCAAGGAGCCCCAGAACCTTCCAAATGTTCCTGCGGGTGTCAGTAAGACAACTCTTCTTCTGAAGGCTTCAGCCCTAAGGTACAGCAGAGCAACCTCTTCAACCTCAGATACCCAATGTGATAAGCGATCTGACCATTCCCTCAAAGCAGGTGCATAAATTTGAGTGGCAAACTTTATCCCACATTTTCATTGTATCCAGATTACATTTAGGTATCTTTCTTGAATTCGAAGGTATTGCCAAAGCCAAGAATGAGGGAATTCTCTACGTAATAATATGAAAAAAAGGTTTCTGAGATGAAACAGCATCCAGATAAACTGCATTCCAGTCAGTACAGAATAAACCCATTAAAAAACAAGGCTCCAGGGGAGCCTGGGTGGCGCAGTCGGTTAAGCGACCGACTTCAGCCAGGTCACGATCTCGCGGTCCGGGAGTTCGAGCCCCGCGTCAGGCTCTGGGCTGATGGCTCAGAGCCTGGAGCCTGTTTCCGATTCTGTGTCTCCCTCTCTCTCTGCCCCTCCCCCGTTCATGCTCTGTCTCTCTCTGTCCCAAAAATAAATAAACGTTGAA